ATAAATATCGGTAGTTGAAAATATATCGCCGGCCTGAAGTAATAATAATATATCTGACACATCTCACATACAGCCGTCTGATCCCAAATTAGGCACAGCCTTTAATATGGTAACCAGACTGCTGATAAACATACTAATATATTTCTCAATATATATACATATTATAGATAAATTACACCCAGACACAGACCAAATAACCGTGCTCATCAAGCAATATTTGTCCTGGGTGGGAATCAAACCCACTGACACTGGTTTACAGGAAACCGGTATTGAGCAATTACCGTTAGTTAACGGAGGCCCATTCGTCCTCTCTCTCTAACTCCGAGCCCCCCCTCATAAATTGATTGAAAAAATAGGTGTGTAATAAGCCATGGGCAGTCCGTGATTAAGTACTCATGCATGCTAGACATTTTTAAGATTCTACCATTTTTAATTACAATATAGGTACATAATTGTATTGACATTTTTAACAGACTCAAAAAAGATATTCTCTATTGGACTGTAAGTTGTTTCTTTTTAAATGTCTGTTACTTCAGAACTCCGTGATTTATACACGGATCTTCGTGCTCCGTCTCGTTTAAATTGGAAGAAAAAATGCCATACCTAGGGGTTCAAAATTGATAAAGTAAGAATTCAGTTTATTCAATTTCAGCATTACGTAGACGCATTCGAGTAGGTTTTATAAGGCTATTGCTAACTAATATTGTTAATGGCAATCATAAACAAATTATTTCGTGTGTTAAAGTGGCAACATTGTAATTGTTATTATAACTATTATCGACTACAATAGTTGTGGTCGTGTGAATGGAGTGTAGAAGCAAGGAGAACCATCACATAAGGGGGAAAGATGAAAAATTGTCCAGCTGTATATTGAAAATAGAGGTCGCTGGCGTACGAAAACCTACGATATGATCACAGCTGTTGTACACGGAGTGAAGTGTGTTGAGTTAAAATATTATAATACTTTTATTGTCTGAAAGTTATGACACGTTTATTTATTGTCTGTAAAAGTCACTGACTATTTTCGCTGTTTAGTACACAGTGTCTAATTATTATTGAAGCCAATATAAATTTATGCTAAGTTACCGCAACGCCACCGAGATGGTTCTCCTTGCCCCTACCCTATATAGTCGTGTGTGTTAATGCCTGTGCTCTCTCTCAGTCAAGACTAACAAAAGCATCTAAATGCCATAACCAAGGATTTCATTTACGAGCGACCCAAATATACAGTCCACTGCCAACTACATATGTAAACGTGTTTCTAACTTAAAACATGACGAATTTGTACATATCATGTTCATCCTTTATTTTACACTTTTTGGGGGTGAAAGTCTCAATTTCTCACCTAGTGGGTGCAATACAACATAAAAAGCATCAGCTGCCAAAATTTCAACTTTGTAGCGCCAGTGGTTTAGGTTCTGTGCTGATGAATCAGTCAGTCTGTCAGGGCAAGGTATTTTTTATGTATAGGTTTATAACAAACTAGCTGACACCGGCGAACTTCGTACCGCCTTAGAATTAACAAATCAGGTGACAAATTTGGTGACATACCGACAGCAGCGCCACCTACCAGGTCCATTGTATTTTTTAACCTTCCAGGAACCCATTGAAATATACATACAAAATTTCATCAAAATCGGTCCAGCCGTTTTGGAGGTGTTAGGTTACAAACACACGTTCAGAAGAGTTACGTAAATTAAGATGTATTCAGAAATGAAAAAAGGAACTATTTGAGTTGTTTTATTAAAAACGATTGCACAATAAATTTTCAGTTATAACAATAAAACAATAATAAAAGAGATCATATAAGAGAATGAGTTTCATTTATACAAGAATAATAATAAAACTATATACACAAAAAGTAACAAAGTTAGTTGAATCTAATCTAATCTAAGATCTTGTCCAAATGCCACATTTCAATTACTTTTAATTTTTCATATTACAGGGGGATAAACGAACGGACGAGGCGCCTATTGGTAAGTGACTACCACCACCCATCGACACCAAAAGTCATAAATGCGTTGCCACCCTCTCAGTCCCTCCCCCAGAATAAATTGGGGAGGAAGCGATTGGGCTCGGGTAACCTCACTCGGTTCAGTGTGGTGTTTTATTAAGAATATAGAGTGCCACCACCTCTATTCATCCCGTTGGTGTCGTAAGAGTCGACAAAGGGCGCAAACTCTGCAGGACAACAGCACTGCAAAAAGAAGGAAAATTTGAAACAAACCCCGGGCAGACGAGTTGGTATACAACCCGTCTGGCCAGCGTGGTATAGTAGGCCAAAACCTCCATTGTAAGGAGAGGCCTATGTCCAGCAGTGGACTGTTACAGATTGTTGATGAGCCTCACTCGGTGAAAATCAAGGAAAGAACTGCTCAACACTGATTTTCTGTGAGGCCGTGGTATGATTTTGGTCGAGCCTGGCCGATATATGCCTAAGCAGGGAGACGGTCACATGTCTCATCTCACTTACAATCAGTGACTAAATATCAAAATCTGCTAAAGTATCCATGGCTTTGATCGAAGTAATTATTGTATCTCTTAGAAACACATACTTTTTTGTTATAGCCTTCCATAAATTAAGTCTCAAGAATTTCCCTCGGACCTTCGTCCTTGTCCCAGCTAATCACATTTGTGTTACGTCACATATTTTGCAATTTTAGTTTACTACTTTTTACACTACTACATTACAGTAAATGCTATGTACACCTTAATTGTCATACATATCAGGTATAATGCCACATATTGTCAAAACTAGTTATAAGTATAATATGTATGATGTGGTAGTACTTATTAATAAATAAATAAATAGAAATGATTAAATTAAAATACCAGTTCCGAAATTAGTTAGATTTTTAAGTTCAATAGTTTTTAAATTAAATCAACAATTTACAAAATATCAACATAAAATCAAAGATTTGAAAAGTTAACATAAAAAACGATGAATTAAATTACTGTTAATAATTCAAATTTTGCGTTTTAATATCAAGATGTATTGTTTTGAAATGGGACGTCACGAAACTCAGGCCCACTCTCAGCCTTTGACATACAATGTCACAAATCGTCGACCCTCTCCCGTCCTCAGCGTGTGACGTAATTTATGGTTGGTCCTTTATTGGTTGAACTATTCAACAGAAAAAAGGGGGCGATTAAGTGAAGATCTACCTTTCAATGGTGCTAATTCTGTTGTTCGAAAACTCTCTAAACTAAACAAAAAATCACAAAAAAATAGTTTAGTACTGTCAAGTAGGTACTACGTTTTCAGCATACGAAATGCTGTTTGACAGGTATCAGCAAGTTTTTTTGGGATTTTTGGTTTAGTTAAGAGTTTTCGAACAATAGAATTAGCACCGTTATCTTCCTATTTAATTTTTGAATTGCCGTTTGACGGTAATAGGTTTGCCTCTGATTGTATTAGAGGCAGGGCCGTCTTTAGCCTATCGGAGGGCCTGGGCACATTGGTATAAAGGGGACGACCTTGACTGATTAGTGTCTGTGGTAGAATAGCCAAACAAGGTATTATAATTAGCTATTTTCGCTGGATTTTTCTAAATAAGTATGGTTTTCGGTATAAATATCGATTATCGAATTAGGTGGGCAGGAATTAGGGAGCCTCTATCTATCGAGAGGCCCTGGGCACGTGCCCAGAGTGCCCAGTAGGAAACAGGGGCCTGATTAAAGGGACTAAAATCATGAAATAAAGGCAAAATGTGGGCGGTATATACGCACAGGTGGCAAACGAGCAGATAGGTAAAGGCAAAGTGCGAATTTATTTCACTTCTACTCGATCGCTGCGGTGACCGTATTCGGCGCTACGATTGGCCGGCACTGAAATCTCCACCAATCGCAACGCTAAACGCGCTCGCCGTCGAAAGCCAGTATTAAAGATGTGAAATAAACTTGCTCTCGGCCCTCGGATGTCAAGTGACTACCGCTGTCCAAGAACACTTGCAACCCAAGAGACAAGTGTCTTTGAGTCCCCCCTTCGGAAGCATGGAGGGAGGAAGGGTTGGTGCTCTGATAACCTCACTCGCTATGAAAAACAACAAAAGAATTGCTTAACACCGGCTGGTTAGTTTTCTGTGAAGCCAAATACCATCAAAGCACCATCATCATGAACAGCCTTTAACAGTCCACTGCTGGACATATGCCTCTCCTTAGAAAGGAGGTTTTGGCCTACCATCATAGCATTTGACCTGAACACTAATTATATGTTTGTGTATTTTTTTCTAAAATTGTATGCATAGTCTACACTTAATGCTAGTCAAATTTAAGCCCAACTTTCTATAACACTGTATAAGGCATTTCTTTACATCCTATACTTACTATCAAATACAGCCCAATTTCTGACTTTGTACATCAAATTTGCAAGCAAGCAACGCATTTTCTATACATTTTTAAAGTTCAACTGTTATAAAAGCTCTCCAAATCGTGTTTACCCCTTGTTATTTAGTGTCACGTCGGTAGACAACTCGCTGGAGTTTCAATCCACATCGCGTAAGTTTTGAGACAGCGTGGGACGCTCCGGTTGTAGATTGACATAGTTAAAGCATCAGAAACCTTTGAAAATATGGATCAAAAGGAGAGCATTAACACTCAAACAAAGAGCGATTTTGATCCATATTTGTCAGCGGCTCACCAGTAGACATTCAATAGCTGATGATTGTTCCCAAAATTTCGCCTCGAGTTTTAAGCTGATGGGTCTGTTGGTCTAATGGCTATTGAATCTGAATGCTATTCTAGAGGTAGACCCAGGACCAGAAATTGTGTGATAAGCACGATCATTTGTACCGTGTCTGAGTGTAATTTATCTATAAAATGTAAGTATTTAGAACTATATAAGTACGTTTATCAGCAGTCTAGTTACAATAGTATAGGCTTTGCCTAGTTTGGGATCAAATGGCCGTGTCTGAGTGTAAGATTATTATAATTTATACACATATCTTGATACAGGGCACAATAACTTCTTCTCCTCCAGCTCGATATTTCTTTTTTATGTGTTAAAAATCAACATAATTCATCACAGGTGATATGACTCCCCGTATCCAGTGGCTGGTGACCTTCACGTTGTGATAAATCCCTGGTTGATGGTCTACTCCGCAGCCAAAACCAGCGGATGTGATGCCTACGAGGTAGTATCGACCGTTTTCGAGCACTATTAGGGGGCCTCCGGAGTCACCTGGATAGAGAAGGGTTGTTTTATTAAGTGTGGTATTTATAATTATGTATTCTGTAAAGTTTGGGATATCGTCTAAGACATGGAACGTGCTTCACAAGTGTTTGTCAAGAAATCGGTTTGTCCGTCAATTGTTTGAATGTTCGTAGAGTTTTCTGCCATACAGAAGTATTTTCTTTTTAATTCTTAACGCAAAAAGAAGGGTTGATATCAGTTCAACGTAACTATGTGTCTCTCTATGGAATTATTGTCATTATAATTACAGTCATAGATAATCATAACTAATATAAAAACCTTTTTTTAATTGAAATTTGACTTGGTCGAGAGGGTTTTCAATTATATAATAATCAAGAATTCGAATCTCTTCGCAGCTCTTCGAATCTTCAAGAAGACGTGTGGGTTGGAGTAATTTTATTTATTTTATTTATGCTTGTTGCTAATTCAATCAAAATAAATATCCTTCAATTCTACGAAATGAGAGGACCTAGTTTAAATAACAAGGTTAGTAGTAGTAATTCGAAGCTACTATAGTTAAACCGCCGTAAGCTTGGCCCTCCTGATGGTTTACGGGACGCGGGGCGGGTGATGCGCTCGGCTATACATGACAAGATGTACTAACTCGATATCTTCAGATTTATTTGTTTGAGATTTAATCTACACACGATGTAATAAAAATCGAATTTATTTCCATGTATTATAATGTCAGTGTATTGTAAGTTTTTATGATTAATTGTAAAATTTAATACTGTAAAATAATTTTAATAAAATCACCTTATCTTCATCATGTGTATTATATTCAGATACAATTTCAAAATTTAAGTAAAATAATAAATTTTATTTATTAGAACTTTAACAATAGAACCTCTGTAAGCCGAACTTCAAGTTTTTAAATCTTTTTGTGACGCAGAGTCGGCAGATTATCCATGTTGCAAAATAATACCGTGTGTAGCAGTCTTAAGAAAAATAACACGTACAGCTCTGCTTTCACGTCAGTCACTGCCGGCGGACAGCGACGCACTAGCTAATTGGTTGAATGCACCCCCGCCCCGCGTCCCCCAAATCATCAGGAGGGCCAAGCTTACGGCGGTTTAACTATAGTTTGTACGTACGTTCATTACATAAGTTGTATACAACTTATGTAATGAACGTCTGTTTTATGGTGTCCTATTAACATTCGTTAGCAGATTGTCCAAATGCCCAAAACAATTTTTAAATCTATCCGGGGAATAAACTCGAATCTTTGCGAAAAGCTAGGCCTTTTAGTTGACTGCTTTGCAGTCAATCTAATGTACCGATTTTTTTTGTTTTTTTTTCAAATTTGAAAGTAGGCAAAAGTGTAATGAGCCAAGTAAATCAATTTTAGTGCCAAAGCTTACCTAAGCATGCGTCCTGGTGTCCATCTGAGTGTCCCGCACAAATCATCTCGGAGTGTATCTCCACAGAGATTTGTTTGATCCTGTGCCAGTTGATACACTGTTCTGTACCTGACAATAAAAAAAACACAAGTTAATATCAAAATCTATGCTAATTAATATTATAAATGAATGTAGCCTTGTCCGGCTCTGGCTGTTACGGTTGCAGGCCTTTCTGATGTGTAACATCTAATGCGGAGGGCGAGACTCTGCGACTTATCCTTTTACACTCATTATTTTTGCAAAATAATTACGATGTTTCACACCTGTCTCAATATTAGGTATGAAAATCACCATACCGTGGAGTAAGTTTTGATTAAAAAATAAAACAGCTAGTCCAGTGAACAAAATTTTAATTGTAGATTCATACTGACTGGCTTGTTGGTCTAGTGGTTATTGACCCTGACTGCTGCGCCACTGGTCGTGGGTTCGATTCCCACCTAAGACAAATAATTGTGTGAAGAGCACGGTCATTTGTTCTGTGTCTGGGTGTACTCTATCTATTATATGTATGTAATTAAAAATATATAAGTATGCTTATCAGCAGTCTGGTTACCATAGTAAAAGGTCTGCCTATTTTAGGATCGGACGGCCGTATTTTATACTAATGTAATAAATGTTATTTAACTCGGTCTGTCTATTTGTTATGCTTTTATGCCTCAACTACTTAACTTATGCTCACACTATTTTGCATACGAAGTATCTGATATACGGAAAAGGAAATGGAAAATGTAAATAAAATAGAGAAGAAAGCTGCCGGTAGAAGTTGGTAATTAATAAATACTTACTTAAAATTGGGACCGTAGCTGATCTTAAAAGATTAGTCCCGGTATGACCCGTACTCGCATCAGTCTTACCCCATCCAGCTATAACCCCCGCTCTTCCCCGGAGCTCTATGTCCCGTTCAGGGAGGCAAATTGGAAGTATATGGCTAGTGTAGGTAATAGGCCGGGACAGCTTTAGCAACGCGATGTCGTATCGATCTGGTTGCGTTATTCGAAACTGGAATAGTGGGTGCAGGATCTTTTGGGTGACACTGTAAAACAAATAATAATTTTACTAACTACTAGCTTCGTTCGCGTGGCAATTGAAAAGTGCTGCCTCAGTGGTGTAGTACGGTACGCGACTGCAGTCCATGAGACCTCAGGTTCGATACCCTAAATTTAAATTTTCTAGGTTACTCCTTATATAGACAGCTTCCAGGTAGCATAATATTATCAAAATCGGTCGATCCGTTTTGAAGATTACCCGAAACAGACAGATAGGCAAAAAGTATTTAAACTAGTTTTTAGGCATAGGTATCGTGCAAATGACCGCATGAGCATGAAAAAAACCTGTTATTTTAACATTACAAACAGACACTTCAATTCTATTTATTTGTATATATGAGAGAGGAATATGAAGCAGAGAAAATGTATTATTTATCCATATTCTAAAACCTGGCGGTAAATCTGCATTTTTTATGACATAGCGGGCAAACAAGCTTAAGGGTCACTTGATGGTAAGTGAGAACTGCCATCCATGGATATCTGTCACCCAAGTGCGTTTTCAGCCTTTAAACCGTACACAGAATTTGGCCTCCAGTAAAAATTACTTAACGCCGGTTTTCATTGAGTAACACTCCGGTCGAGCTAGGCCAAATGTGCTGAGCTTCTCTTATGAATTCTTCCTTTGCTTCCTTTTGGGCTACTCAAAGAGGGGAGGAACCACCTAAATAATTTATTAATGTGCCCCTCTCATTGAACTAAAAGCTAGGTCTATACATAATGTAGCAAAAACTTTGTAGTCCGTTTATAGCTGAAAGTCAGTTTAGCTTACCCAAGTTTCCTTGCAGTGTGAGCTCCAGCGCTGGTGTCCAAAGCTCCTAACCACACTGCTATGTCTCGAGGTCGTGCCCGAGACACGCAGTGTGCTGCCGTTGCTACGTAATACCGTGACACTGGAATATTGAAAGCTTTTTTCTAAAGGAATATCTGGAGGAAATACTCAACCCCAGCAGCCCATTGCCTGTGTCGTTTCCAAAACCATTGGCTGAAATAAAGCTGCATTCAATTGAATTCGCTAACCTAAAGTACAAATCAATGAAATGTAGTTTATGTCATGTTCACACGTGATTCGTAATTTCATGATGATGGGTTGAGTAAATAACATACGAAACCGTAAGAAACAGACAAATGTACCTACAGTCTCCATCTATAGATTTTGTGGCATATTCCATCTATCAGCTTGGAACAGGTATCGGTACAGAAAACATTGGTAAGAGGGTTCTAACCTCCCTGAAATAGTCAGTTCTAATTACAGATATTATGACCTTGTTCGCACTTTGCTTATGTTTTTATCTTTAAATACACTCAAAAAGTCCCGTCAGGTAATACGTGTAGTTAAAGAATATGTTTGTTCTCTGTTACCTGAGTGGGAGAAAATTGTAGTTGCCAAAATATGTAGTTGATCCTCAACATACCAAGAACGCCTCCACATTGGAACTCCGAAATCCTCACGTGCGCCTGCCAGGGGAACTCTGCGAACCTCGCTTCGCGACCTCCAATTATTCTTTTTTGAATTATTTTGGTCGAAGATAAGCCGCAATCAGCCTTGAAATGATAACATATGTATGAATTCATGGTTTTTTAAGTAATTTCTATGTCTGGTATAAAAATCAAAGTTTTGTGACGAAGTATGTTTTTTTTTATGTAAGAAAGAAAAAGAAACATCAACCAATGATAAATAAGAGGCGAAGAGTCAGTAGTAATGGCAAAGTTATATAAAATTACCTGAGGCACGTCATCATCAGCCCGTCTTCTAAAGACGTTGGCGGGGACCACGCTGCGTTGAGGCACCTGACGGAGCTTCGGTGGAACCACTTTGTATTTCCAATCTGATGACGGGATGCTGTGATCAAAAAGATTACAAATGGTTCAAATACAGGTTACAGTAGTAATATTATTATTATTCTATTTTTTTTTCGATTCCATTATGTTTCTAAGATTTTTAAGATGTTTCTATAATATGATGATCTACAGGTCCTCTACAATCAAGGTTGTAAAATATTTAATAACTCATTAAGCGCAGTAGTAAAGTTTCGTTAGAAGTAGTGAATCGACGTTAGTAGTATGTTGTGTTAAAAAGCGTTACTACTTCTCTTGTTGAAGATCATCAATTAAGCTCCTATGACACCTGTACGTGAGTGGCAAAAACGGCTGTAGTTGAACGAAATCGCAACCAATAAATTAAATATGTACATATAAAACTAAATTATACTTATTATTGTTAGTTTGTATTATCTCTACCTCTCTCATCTATTGCTGTGCCCGACAGGGTCTATGATGATCTGATTTCCTATTTAAGTTACCACCTGCTCAGGTGGTAACTTAAAGATGAAATCAGAACATTGTGGAATGCAATAAATATATTAAGGACTCTACTCAAGTAGATTTGTATACATTTCAAGCCTGGATTTCCTCTGCCTCCAGTGTTTGAATGATTGCAAAGTCCATCGCGATGAAGCAATTCCTAGTTCAGGAATTTGAATGCCCATTTTTTAAAGATAGTTAAAAAAAAATAGAATTTGGCTGTCCATTTGTTTTTCTTGTCACTTCAGTACGATTTAAGAAACAAACCTATTATCCAGAACTTCATTTTTGTTCGGTTCTAAAGCGCAGCATGAAAACAGCCAGCTCCCTCCGCATCCTCTTACTCTGGTGCCTCCCTTCAACCAGCAGGTCAAAGATAGTGTGCAAGGTCTCACCTCCAAGCCTAAGTTGCAGGTGGTGGGGTATCCCAGCAGTGACGCTAGCATGCGACTGGTAAGGGCTGCAATATATATCACAAATTAAAAAAATAGGAAATTAAGAAATTGGGTAAAGAAAAAACGATAAAAACGAGTTTAAAAAACTGAATGTTTCCTGCTTCTGGGGAGGTTTCTTTAACAAACCGTTTATCAATGTACGTACTCGTATACTGCTGCCACTTGATGATAATCATCATAAAACTCATGACGACTGATGAATATGACTAAACATATTTGTGTTAATCTTTTTTTTTCACTTTGTCATTTCTATGTATTATAATAATATTTTCGGACATGTGACACACAACGCCATCTAGTTTCAAACTAAGCAGAGCTTATACTATGAAAGCTAGATTAGATTAGATAGAAAAAAAGGAAAAGTATTCTATCAGAATACTTTTCCTTTTTTTTGTAAATACATACATAATATACATAGAAAACACCCAAACTCCGAAACAAATATTTGCAGATCATACAAACATTTGGTCCGAAGCAGAAATCGAACCCGAGATCTCAGCACAGCAGTCGGATACGCTACCACTGCGCCACCGAAGCAGCAATATCTAATTTGTAATATAAAAATCTTATAATGCTATTAGTTTATCGCTGCATTCTGGTACAGTACAAAACATTTTAAAGTGAACTTGTAGTGGAAGAACGGACATTATCTACCCCTGCTAATAATGGCTGAACAGCAGATGTTGGTCTGGGTATGTACTGTTTTGCTTGAGAACTATAATTACGCGATTTGGAATCAATAGTTATCAGTAGTTCTGCAACTTTTCGCTAGATGACACAAGAACGTCTGTTTGGTAAAACTCGCTCAATTTTTTTTAAAATTAATACTATAATATAAATTAATTATACTACAATATAATTAATACTTATAAAAAATAACTTACATTCGCCAGCGTTCACGTGTCCAGTGACATTGAGAATCACTAATGGTATCAGTACGCTGAATCGCCATTTTGGATCTGATCCATTCCTTCTGCTTCTTTCTACTTTATCTGTCTCCTTGCTTATCCTGTAATGTATTAAAATAGTGATAATCATTGAACACAAAATGATAATAACTAATCTACTCTATTACATTATTACTCGAAAAGAATTGATTGTACCACCATTTAAGAAAATTTTAGGACCAGAGATATTTAGAATTTGTAAAACTCAAAATTTCCTTAACATTTACTCGATAGGGCTGAAATGATTCAGTCAGATCGACTAATCGACGAATTTAGATTATTATTCCTTTTTTTTTTACGTGCGGAAATCCCCTCGGATATCACCTATCGGTGGCATGTCGGACACGAACCGACTAAAACCGCACGCCGTCTCGGGTACTAATAGCCGGGGAACCAGGTATACCCTAGAAAGGAAGTCCCTGGTGAGATTATTACTCCTGAAATCGGGGAGGTACTATTCGGAAGCCCGCAAATTTTGTAAACATTCTTAAGGTATTTCTTAAAAAAGTATAGATATACTGATATTTTACATCCATGAACTTGTGCAATAAATGGTCTCCTACACAAAATTTCAACCCTTATTTCACCAATTTCAAGTATTATTGTCCTCCAACGTCCCGTCTATATTTATAACATAATACAGTTACATACAGGTTCATCTGAGCTGGATGTATACATTAACGGTATTTTAATTTAAATTAATGCCACATAATTTATTTAAACCGCTGCCGTACCTGTCTTGATTTTGGTGCCATGATGGTACCGCATGGTTCACCGCGGACATTGCGTTTGTCTGCCTCTGTAGTGGTATGACATAGCGCGTGCTGTCACTTCTCTCCGATGTAAGATGTTATCTACAAACAGAATAACATACAGTTTTTGACTTCATAAATTTCAATGTCTAATTTTACAGGTCTAGTATAAGGTGAACTGTCATTGTAAGACGTTAATTGGCAGGTCAACATATTGTTGCGCCAAAGTTGGTTCTAGTGTTGAGTCGTTAGTTGATTAAGAATCGAGAGCCGTACGAAAACTTGAGTCAACGCCATCTAGTGTCAAGTAACGCACAACGAACACTGCGCGTTGAGATTATATTTCATAACTAGTTGGTACCCGCGACTTCGTACGCGTAGAGTTTGAAAAGCGCTGCCTTAGGGCCGCCGTACGAAAATAAATGCAAATGTTTATAGTCTTCGAATTACTTTGTTAAACGTAAGTATGTATACAATACAAAAAAAAAAAAAGGAAAAAAAAGTATGTACATATAATTTGAATCAGTCAAGATGCGGGCACAGGGTTCCCAAATATCCTATACGCGCAAGGTTTACGTTCGGGATATTATAGGGCGGCTTTGGATGTCATCTGTGTCTGATCCGCAAAGAGCCAACGCCCGGATGCTGCCGCTACGATGGCCAGAGCGACTCTCTACACTAGAATGTCCAGCGTGTATGGCGCGTCCAGCGTGTATGCATACCCAACTTCTCCCTTCAAAATAAGAATTTTGAAAATCCGTCCACATATGACGGCGTTATATAGATGTATATTATCCGTGTGGTGACGGATTAAGAATACAGAGTGTCACCGCCCCTATTCATCCCGAGGGTGTCATAAGAGCCGACTAAGGGAGAAAAATACGCAGAACAACAGCACTGCAGAGAGAAGGAAAACTTGACACAAACCCTACACCAATCCGTCTGGCCAGCGTGGTATAGTAGGCCAAAACCTACTTTCTAAGGAGAGGCTTATGTCCAGCATTGGACTATTAAAGACTGTTGATGATATATACTCTATTGACAACCTCCTCCTTTTTGCAGTCGGTTAAAAATAGCCTAAGTTAGCCTTATGGTAGTTAAATATTATCAAAATCGGTCCAGCCCTTTAAAAGATTACCCGGAACGGACAGACAGAAAAAAAAATCAACTGGTTTTCTGGCATAGTTATCGTGCAAATAATCGTGTAAGCATGAAAAAAACATTATTTCGAACTTACAAATAGAGACTTCAATTTTATTTATTTGTATGGATTCCGATACTTGCAGCGCAAATTATTACTGGAAATTCCTTATTATCTCGAACACTCCATTGAATTTTAGGGATAATTCTAGTTATTTCGGCAGCCCTATAAAACCGGAGCGTGTTGGCCGTGAGGGCGAGTATTGTTTTACGAGACAGCGAATTAAAACCTACAAGATTTTCTAGTGCGATAAAGGAGTTATTTAGTTAGCATTGTTTATAAAAATGTGTGTTTATCGTGTGTTAATTTAATGAATTAACCGCCTACGTTTATTTGTCGAATTCCCGGCTGGATCAGTAACTTGATGTAGCCGTTTTCATGTAGCTTCATGGGCGTAGTCACGGTGGATCAGGGTGGGGTACTTGCCACAAGACCCATACGCCCAGAGCCCAAACGGCTGAAGTTAGAGACACTTTTTTGGATGGTAGATTTCGTGGTGTAGGTAGGTGAGCAATAAGAAAGTGTATTGGATAATTCGAATTATACATACGAGTACAGATACAGGGTGCTATAGGGTTGCACCAGGGACTTCCTTTCTGCACCAGGGATTTCCTTTCTAGGGTACACGTGGTTCCCCGACTACTGGTACCTGAGACGGCGTGCGGTTTTAGTCGGTTCGAGTCCGATATTGCCACCGGTAAGTGGTACCCGATGGGGGAATTGCGCACAGAAAAAAAAAGGGTGCTATAGGGTGTAATCTATTTGTATAAAAAAAAACCGGGTACGACCGCGGGTATAGTTTGCTAGTTTCATATTATTTTAGACTTCTGCCCCACCCTGAGCCCATGGCTAGCTACACCCATGTGTAATTTTTAATACTTGTGTACTACAGTAGTAGTGTGATTACTAGCACACATACATTTCATTCTTGAGATCAAGTAGTTAAGGATCGTTTTAGTTAAGATAGAATTAAGCACGTAGATTTAAGTATATGGTGTATTTCTTACATTAATGAGATATACTCTTTATTCTAAATATTATTACCGCTACTACACTAAATATTATAATAGACAACTCCCGCATTAGGAATGAATCTGTATGTATCATGTGTCGCGGGGGACTTTAAAAACCTTCATGAAACGGACACAAAGAACACCCAGACTCAGAACAACAATTTGTGGATCACAAAAAGTGTCCCCATAGGATCGAACCTAAAACACTCAGCGCAGTAAGTGGCAGGTCCGCTGAATACTACAAGTAGATACTAAATACCACAAGGTGCGCCGTACATGCATGGTAGTGTTGCCAGGTCGTGACATACAACGCCACCCACGCGTGGACCGTAGACTACCTTGGCCATTGCTTTAGACTTTCCCTAGCTCTAATTACAGACATTTTTAGTACTAAGAATGCAAATAAGCACACTGTCTAATGTAATGTGATCTGGAGACTCATGGCTTTCCCACGGTTACACGAGAACTGATAACCATCCTGCTTTAGTATATTTTATTATAGTGATGGCCATATGTAAGCTGAAACAAAGCAATATCAAAGTTACTAAAATATAATAATAATAATAACCTTCACTCATCTCACACACAGCTGTCTGATCCCAAACTAGGCAAAGCCTGTACGATGATTACCAGGCTGATAAACATACTTAAATATTTCTAAATACATACATATATTACAGATAAATTGAAAAAATATATATTGAAAAACTTTTATTTAGAAACACAAAAAAAGAAAATAAAATAAAATACAAAAGTGCTTAACAAGACTTTAAATTAGTGTAGCAGATCTTATTAGATAAATATTTAACGCGTTCCCCACACTGGGCAAGCCTGTATCGTGGGCCAGGAGTTTTATATCGCAAACATCGTGTTTACGATATAAAACTCCTGTACTTCACAATTTTAATGACACCCAGACACAGAACAAATCGTGTTCATCACACAAAGATCGAGTTCACTACACAAATATTTGTACTGTGTGGTAATCGAACTCACGACCTGCGGCTCAGCAGTCAGAGTAACTAACCACCAACCACCACCAACAGGCCATACAGATGAGGGGCGTTGGTCGCGCGTCGAACGCGCGTTTTATCTTTGTACAGTGTTTCTACGCGCGTTATCATCATTGAGTTCGAGTTTTGTAGTAATTAAAACTTGGCGTTTTATAAATAAATCTCTGTTTGTAAAATAGTCACCGCTGTGTGAAAAATGGTGTACGGGATGTAATTAATTGGTAGAATCCTTTTATGAAAATAATGTGTAGTCGTATTAAAATAGTGTCTAATGTGAACGAATCTACGGCAAACCAGTGATCTGAAAGTAGCTTATTACTGCGCAAAAGCGCACATCGGATCAGAACACTCATAAGGATCAAACATTACTTGAACAGAATGCTTGATTGTTTTGACACAATAGCAAATCGTGCAAGCTTTTCGTCTGTACATCGCCTTATCGCTAGGTGACTATATTAATCATTATTCACTCTCTTATTTTCACTAAAGTTAGTATATAATAATATTTATTTAATTATTATATCAATTTGTTAATATATGCAAATTAAATTATAATAAAAAAGTATTATGTCTTAAACAAAACAAATTAAAACAAAGTTTAATGTTACATTAGAATAATATATACGTGTTATGTGATAATGAGTTAGTAAGTGATTATTTATTTATATAAAAAAACGTAGTTCTTTGCAGCATTAAAAGCTAGAGAATATTCAGTGGATGGAGACACGTTTGATGAAAATGACTTAGTTCCAAAATACAACATAAACAGGGTTGCTGAGTAAGTCAACCTAAATACTTTAAGTTGTTATAGTTGCCATAATTTCTGTCAGATTTCACTATGAATAACATTACCCGAAACTCAACCATTTTTAAGATGTGGGACTATTAAGATTTTTATAAAAGTTGCCGAAATTTTGCCTATTTTTTTTTCATAAAATAAAAGGTATGTCTTTTATTTTATGTTTTTTTACTGTTTTGGTGTGGTTTATACACTGTTTTACAATTTCCATTACTAAAGTTGTAAACTTAACCGACTAGGCCGAAGTAGATGGTTAATATTAGCAAAAAAGAGTTTTTTTTTTCTTTTACGAATATTTAAAAAAATCTATGTCAGCTAAACTGCAGATATGTTAAACAGTACGTATTTTCAGCTATCTAACAAGGTATAATACAATAGGATAGTAGCACAATTCATAGAAAAAAAACTTAGACGAAAGGCCGGGAGTTTTAAGAATTAGCGTACAACCCGCTAGTACCTAGTTCAAAACTTGGCTTGTATTTTTGGACTGTTTCGTTTTCTATTCATGACGAACTATTGCTAACAGAACTTTGATTTGTGCTTCTGATACTGTTGAAGATGACGACCTATACGAAAGAGGAATATGCTGATATTCTGATTTGTTACACTACTCCCAATGCGTATACGCACGAGTCTCCCAACCAACTAATTATCAATCTTTCTCGCTTCTTCTATAATGCGCAAAGCAACGACCATCTTAAAACCTCATACCACGAATGAGATGAGATCAAGTGGTAAATCATCAAGTAAGTTAGTTAAATTTTGTACCTAAACCTAACCTTTGTGTTTTCGTAGTGTTCTCGCGGAGAAAAAAAGTGGTTTAACAATACCTATCTACACATTCAAACTGAAGCGTCTTTGTGGGCCCCTTTTATCCGCGTAATATTAGGATTTATCAGCGCTTTTAGCGCGAAAAATTAACGCTGTGGTAATTAGAAATAAAATTACGGGTCGTCTACATATACCTGCATTAACCATAAATCTGTAGAAATCCAATCTCTTCAAA